TGTTGTAATTTCATTTTCATTATGCTGTATGTTTTAAATATTTTCTTGAGATTTCCTCTGTACCCCAGGTGAAAGTATATTGTTTAATTTTTAAATACACAGCATACAGAACTTCTTACTGTTTGTTACTAATTTCTAGGTGAATTTCATGATGGTCAGAGAATATAATCTGTATGAATTTAATTCTCTGAAATTTGCTTAGGTCTATTTTATGGCATTAGACACTCTATCTTGGTCCTTATTCCACATGCACCTGAGAAAAACATGTACCCCGTTGTTGAATAAAGTGCTCTGTAAATAACTCTTGGGCCAGGCTGTTTGTGTTGCTCTGACTTTCTACATCTTTATCAATCATTTTTTCTGCCAATTGCTGAGAGAAGAATGTTGAAGATTCCAATTTGTTGATTTCTCTATTTTATCTATCAGTTTTCTCTTTGTGTATTTTGGAGGTCTGCTATTAGATCCATACACATTAAAGAACAGTTATTTCTTAGAAGATGGGCTATGTAATGCCTGTCTTTCCCTGACTATATTCATTTTTATAAGTTTACACTGTCCAAAATTATTATGTTTATTTTAGCTTTGACTGCTTTTTTCAGTTTATGTATATTTAAAGTGTCTTCTTATAGATAGTACAGTATTTGGTCTTTCTTGCCTTCTGTTTCTGGTTTGTTTTAAACAAAGCTGGTAATCTGTTTTGTACATGATGTGCTTAGACCTGTAATAATATATCAACATATTTACAATTTTTCTTTTTCTTTCTTTGTCTTTGTATTTTAGGGAAGGGTCTACAAAGTGTTCAGGGTCTCACTACTAGATCCGACTCATAGTGATCCGCCTGTTCACAGCCTCCCAAGAGCTGGGATTACAGGCTCGCACCATCATGCCCAGTCTCCATTGTTGTCTCAGCGTGCCCCGGGGGCGGAGCCGGCACATCAGGCCCAGGGATCGAATCCCTGGCCCCTGCTTACAGGCACTTTAATTTGTTGAGCTATCCGGCCGGCCCTTATTTCCAATTTTTCTCTTCCACCTTTGTGGTCATTTTTTTCCTCTCCTTCGAATTCTGGAAACTGAACCAAGGGGACACAATACTACTGAGTTACATCTCTAGCTCTTTTTATTTCTTACTTTGAAGCAGACTCTTTAAGTTGCCCACACAGGGCTGAACTTGGGATCTTCCTGCTTAGCTTTCGCAGAGTGCGGGGATTATGTATGTGTCACCAGACACAGCCTCATGTTATACTTTTACATGTGATACAGACACAAAATGTACTACCACTATTTTTGCTTTATAAAGTCAGCTGTCTTGTAAACAATTAAATAGAAGGAAAACACCTAGGTTTTAGATTCTCATACCATTCTCCTGTGAAAGTTACCAGGTTTCCTTGGAAGAAATGGGATAGTAGGGCTGGGGCAGAAAAAACAAAAACACAAATTGAGCCTGGAGCATATTGTAGGTTCAGAAAATAAAAAAGTACCCTACCCTTCCCTCAAAACAAAAATGAAAAAGCAACACAAGGTACAAAGATGAGGAAATGTCAAAGGGACACAGGTACCATGTAAACAGCTTCCAAAAGCTAGAGCTACAACAACTTAAACAGAAAAGTGGTATATTACAATCCAAAGTGTAAAATAAATGCCTAAATCTGTACTGAAATATATGATGAAGCAAATAAGAACAGGTAAATCTCTTGAGCCAAACAATTCTATAATTTATGTTGACATTCTTCCCTTGAGGATGTGAAACATAAACCCCTACTCTGTACATGAGGGTTACATGTTAAGGACTCCTTCCAAAAACCACAGTATGGAAAGGATACGAGATTGAGCTTATAACAGAAACTTCTGATGAAGTAAAAGACTTCATCAGCCCAGGGACCAAGTTAGCACGAGTACTATTAGTTATACTGATAGTGTACCTGAGACATATGACAGAAATGCCACTTTAATTATATAGCTTTCCTCTCTAAAAGCAATAATCCCAAACTAATAATGAGAAGACATTGGATGAATCTCAACTGAGAAACATTGTACACATATGTGACTGTTATTGCTCTAAACTGTCAAGATCAGTAGAGCAGGAAAGTCTTAGAAAATCTCATAACCAGCATTTTATGGAGACATGATTAATAAATGTAATGTGGTATATCCTGGATTACAGTCTGGAACAGAAAAAGACATGAAGCTTAAAACTACATAAACCAAAATAGAGACTTTAGTTAATTTATTATCAATATTATACTTTTTTTTTTTTTTTTTTGGCAGAACTGGGACCTGAACTCAGGCCCTTGCACTTGCCAGGGAAGTGCTTATTCCACTGAGCCATCTCCCTAGCCTCTATTATCAATATTAGTTCACTAATTTTCACAAATGGGCCATACTAGGTTATTAATAGGAGAAACTGGGTATAGAGTATAAGTAAACTTTCTGTACTGCCTTTGTAATTTTTCTATAAATCAAAAACTGTCCTACAATAAAAAGCTAATAAAAAATAAAGGAAAGTAACTTCATCTTCACTTATATCACTTCCACTGAAGTGAAGAACACTTCCATGGTTCTTCACCGCTTTTGAGTTGACTCAAGTTGCTGATGCTGTCATTCCTTCTGCAGAAGGTGTTTAACATTTCCTATAGAGCTTTGCTGGTGGTAAATTCCCATGATTTTCTTATTTCAGAAATCTTTCTTTCGCCTTTGTTTCTGAAACTTTTTTTTTTTTTTTGGCCAGGTATAGAATTCTGGGTTGAGAGTTTTTTCTTAAATTTCAGCACATTGAACATGTGCCCCATTGTTCCCTAGCTTGTTTAGATTTCTGCAGAGAAACACGGTTTTAATGCTTATCCTTGTTTTACATGTACTATGTCTCTTTTCTCTGGCTGACTTTAAGAGATTATTTTGGTTTTTGCTTTAGCAGTCTTAATGTATGTGCACATATGTATGCACTAATAGTATGTATCTACTTGGTGTCTTTTACTACTCCTTAAAATATTATTTCTGCATCTTTTGGAGTTGCTTTAGAATTCTAACCTTCAATGTGTTGATAAAGTCTCATTCCTCTGAATTGTTTGGCTCTGCTTTTTGTTCAGTTTTATTTTGTTCTGAGTCTTTTTTTGTATTTCAGTTTGGGTTAATTCCTCTTGACTTGCTGAGGTAGGTCTTTCCTCCTGCTAAGCTGGTACTGCAGGGCTGTAATTAATTCTCTGTAGGAGCTGTACTGGGTTTGGCCCTTATTACTACTGTGGTTGCCCTCTGTGTAGCTACCCTCTGGGGACGGGTGACCAGTTGGTCACATCTGCTTCCCAGTGGCTGACTCAGTTTTAGTACAGAACCACCCCTTCTGTGAAGCCCCTCAGCTTGTGGCTTTAGGCACCCTGCACACCTGTGGCTCTGCTCCACATTCAGCATCTCTTCCTGATCCTCTACCATGAGTGGAAATGGAAATTTTCCTTTTCCATTTCCCCAAACACACTGGGATTTCATCAGTGCCCTAAGAGTCACAATTTGTGCTGTTCATTCCTCACAAATTAAGGATTTCTTCCACACAAGGGAAAGGACAGAATGATCTAAACTTTCACCCCTATTGCAGTGGTCACACATCCCCCTCCATGTATGTTTTCCAAAGGAGGTTTTTCCAAGACATCCCTCACCTTTCATGTGAAGCATCCAGTGAAGGTCATGGGTTTTAAAAGAAAAAAGGCCCATGGGAGAAAACTGACTCAAACCACAGTGAAGCCAGCAGCTTCAAAGAGTCCCACAAATGCACACTCAGCCTCCAGCAATTCACCAGCTTTCCAGCTACCTCTCAGCATCTGTGACCAGCCCAGTGCTCTGATGCGTTCTCTCCTCACAGTACCCATCTGTGCCTATCTGTCAGGTAGGCTGGTTGCCCTGAAGTCTCAGCACTTACACAGATTCAAGAAAAACAGATCTTACTTTTTCACTGTAAAGTTGGGAGTATTTGGTTTTCAGCTTTCTGTATCTCCAAATGATAAAGTGTTCATTATTTTTTCACCCAGAGTATATGACTTAAAAATAATACAACTTATAGTCCTGATTTCATACCGTCCTGGACAAGCAATGACCTTTAGCTTTGTTTTCTCATCACCTAGTCATGATCACAGTCTAACTGAGAATCAAATGAGAGAAAACATGTATGATGCTATTCTAGAATCTATAAAGCACTACCCTAATATGGAATATGACTTAAGCCTGAGAGCATCACTTTCACTTAGCAAAAATACCAACAGAAAGCTTAGCAGCTACATAGCAGAGAAAGCACCTCACATACCACTTAGTATGCTACCAGCTAAACAACTGCTAAACTAAAACTGGCTTTAAATCTTGCAAATCTATTCTAATTTTTTCTATAAGAAGCTATAGAGGGTAAACATTCTATTCTTCATGAATACAGACATAGAATTCAAAAGCAAATGAGGACCGAATTCTGAAGATATTATCAAGAGATGAAATGGGAGGTACTATGTCCTTTACAGAGTTAAACAGAAACATCACTTGAGAAGGAATAAGCAGAAGAAATTATTTGGAGAATAACACATTCAAGTCTGTACACATATTCTCTGTTCTATAATAGTTCTCTCTTTGGTGTGTAAGATCCAATAACAAGTATTTATTGCTTCTCTCACAGAAGCAATGTAACAGATGGAAGTGTGCAGAGCAGAGAGATGAAATAAAGCATAATTTATAAACTTGGAAATGAGCTCTCTAAGCAAACATCCTAGCCTGGTAAAATTAAGCATAACAATCCCTCTAAATTTAGCTTTATTTAAATAAGCATTAAGCAAATGTATTTCCTATTTACCCATAATTTGATTTTTGTGTATTTAAAACAGACTTGTCTTTTAAATTGATAGTTCTGAATAGAAATATTCCTTAGGAAAAGGTATGAAATGCATGGAGGCATGCAAAATTCCAAAAGAAAACATAGGCTGAGATGTATAAAATGTGTGCTTTAAGGAATGAAGCTAAAGAGAGGTTTGACTTACCAATGGAGGCATCATGCCCTTGCTTGTAGGGGGAATGACGACTCGAAGATCTGGTTTCCGACTGTTCATTCCAAGATTGCCACCACCTGGTGGAGGAGGAGACTTTGTAGGCATGACTTTGCCTAAACTATTTGCACCAGTACTGCCAATCAAATTTGGAGAAGCTCTTGAATTTACAAACCCATTCCCTGGGGAAAAGATTAACATGAAAAGAATTATTAAAATATATTGACACAAATACAAAGCATGTTTTCCCAGCTCCAAGGTGCAAATAAATTTAGTAAACATACTAATAACCAAATATCTTTCAATATTTTAAAATAAGCAAAGAAAGTCAACCTGTCTGAAATATATAAAGCTTAAAACTAATGCCAATTGTTTTCAGCACTATTGCTTGGACCTGGGCGAAAGACATTTAAAATATAACATTTTTCTAAAGGCCATATGATACTAGGGATTATAATAATAGAGACAAGCTTAAACCAGCTGACATAGTCATGTGACAGAGGCACTGCTACTTGGTTCCGGGCACTGAACCAGATTTCAGGTAATTCTTTATTTAAACTGTAGCTCATTTAGCACTCATAACTAATGCTTCATTTTCTCAAAGTACTCCTTATGCCTTTCCTTCTCCCTGTTCTTTTTGTCTGCTTCCATTAAGGCTCTTACTAAATAACTGTGGTTAATCTAACTTCAATCAACTTACTGCTACTTTTAAGCTTCCCTTGACAAAACCATCCATGACTTAGGTGAATAAGGAAATGGGCATTTACTGTGGCATCTCTTCTGTCTACTTGGCACTTCTGGGCACCAGATGAGATACAAAATAAGGTAAGAGACCACCCATTTTCAGGAGTACTCTAGTTCTTCCTATAGATGGCAGGCATGTGGAATGGGTTCAGCTGACTCACTACAGACTGGCTTGATTTTTTTTTTTTTTTTTTAATGTATTTAGTACAGGATCTCACTATGCAGCATGGACTCTAGTGATCTTCCTGTTTTCAGCCTCCCCAGCACTGGGATTACAATCATGTACCACCACGCCCGGACTCAGTGGCCAGCTCAGCATGCCCAAGGGCAGGGCCAGCACAGCATACAGTGCCAGGGATCTAACTTGGTGCCTGTGTTTGCCTAAGTAGGCGCTTAGTCCACTGAGCTTAGTCCAATTTTCAATTTCTAAGCAAATGGCCTTACAGACTGGCTTGAGAACAGGCATTCTGACTCAGACTCCAGGTAAGGAATATAAAACACGCAGAATTAGTACAGTGATCTAGGTACGACCAGCCCAAACCTCAGTAAATAAGCTGCTCTTGGCTATCAGAGACATTACCACATTCTACTCTAAGGAAGCACATTATTCTTAAGTCATTTTGAGACTCAGAAGAAAAGCAGAATGAGGAAAATGCTACTCCAGAAAGGACATTAAAAAAAGGAAGTAACCTTAGCCACATTTGTAAGTGTTGTATCACTTATAAGTTAATGTTAAATCCTGTATACTATTTAAGCCTAAGGTAGCATCCTACTAATTGCAACTGATAATACCTAGTACAATTAGCTAATTATCCAAAAGGGAGATAAGGGCATAAATAATAGTTAAGTATTACATACTGGAACATGTAATAAATATTCATTTATAGAATGGAGAATATGTGTCATTTGCTGATTTCAATTTCTAAGCAAACTGCAAATAAAAGCAGGGAATACTAGAAAACAATGATGAGGCTAGAAAACAATAATGACTACACAATATACTTATAAAATATTTTGTGAAAATTTAATTGCTAAATCCAAAATTGTGTTAACTGCCTATAAAAATATACTCTACTATTCCATTTTTTAAAAAAACATCAATTTTATAAACAAAACATACAGAACATTAGCTTAGCCACATATGCGTGTTTCTGGTAATAAAGAGAATCAGCGCCAAGAATAATGTGCTATCATGTTATTTTGAAGGGTTCCTGTTATGTACACAAAGTTACTTTAAGAACATGATATTAAGTAAATTTGTTGGCTTAAGAATATCATTCTTAAAATGGATAGATCTGGAGACTATAATACTAAATACTACTAAATCAGGCCCAGAAGATGAAAATATTGTATGGTTTCTTTAATATGAAAAAACAAAACTATAAATAAAAGAGATTATAGGAAGTGGGCAGGGAGACTTGGTGGAAATACAAATGTTTCTGAATGAGAGAAGATGATGACAATGAAGATTAGACATGCATATGTGACAATTACCCAAAATGAATTCAATATTATGTATTACAGACATGTATTTTTAAAAATTCAGTATTTGTGTTTATTATAAAACTGACCATGAAAATTAATATTCAGAAAAGTGAACTGAAAGCTCTTAACAGGTTAAGTCTTTTGAATCAGGGTGTAACTCAGCATTTAAGTTATCAATAGTTGTAGCCATCTAAAACCAGGCAATAGCATAGTACTATCTTTACTATTTATAAGAATACATTTTAATTTACATAGGAAGGGACAACCCTCCATCATCTTCAGATTACTCTGTCTCTAGTTAGCAAGACTAGGCACATACCACTTGGGCGTAAGCAGAACTCCACAGTTAGGACTAAAATCAACACATTCAAGGGTAACCACAGAAAACTGATGAGAAAAGAAAATGACACTGACCACAAGCATATGCATTTACTTAGGAAAACCTAACTACTGAGCATCAGGAAAGAACAGATGAATGAGAGAAGAAAACAGAGGGCAAGACTAATGGATAAATGCAAAGAAATGATGGGCTCAATCCAGCCTGAATGAATGTGTTGAATGGGGAATGGCAGCCAGAAAAGCCATTTGCTCCAGGGAGCAAAGGAACAAACAGAGAGCTCTATTTATTCTGCTCTTTTCCTTCCTGTATCAAAGCAAAAGAGAATACCTGAGAATCCACCAAAAATAAGCCAACAGTTGACATATCACACATACACACACAACCCCTGTTAACATATAGATGCAAAGACTAACCCAAAGTGGCTGTCTACTACGTGTTTTACACTGAGCTAAAATTATTCCTAATAATTTTTCCTTGAGAGTATTATTCTAAGAAGTGAAATCATTTATTTACTCTGAAAAGCTTCAACAAGTTGACAGGTGTATATTTTCACTTGAAGAGCTTTTGTATTGATATTTACATCATTTTAATTCCACAGAAGCTTCCTAAATGGAATAGCAGTATGGACACTTAAAACTACTTAAAATCTGTATAGGACTTTGCAGTTCATAAAGCACTTCAGGTTCATTAAATAGTGAATAGGGTCACTTGATAAATACCTGATAAGTTCTCAAAGTTAAAATATGTAGCTAGGAAGAGGTGGACTCAGAGTATGCAAAGACAACCTGCAAACAATCTTTGATACCTTACCACTTACAGCACACTGAATTTGAAAAAGCCATGTTATTTAAATGACTTATTTATATTAAAAACTAAGAATTAAAGTTGGGCCACAGTGATGATACAATCAACTTGGTTGATTCCTCAACACTACATCTTCGAGGGTGGCATCTGCATACCAAGGGGGACAGAAAAGAAAAGTGAGGCACTGCTGGCAGGAGCTGCCTACTTTGCTCTTCACTCGGAACCCAGATGGCTGCTGTGATTCTCCCTTTCCACCTTTCTGTCACACAAATCCTCAAAACTTTTACCACCTGACCCATTAGTTTTAATTCATATCTGTGATTTAATTTCACCACAGGGTCTGGTACTTCAGCTAACCTCATGGGGCTATCTTCCACACTTTCGATTATCTTCAAGGCGTCTGTATTAAATGCAGGCTGTGCCTTCTTTCTGTACCCAACAGAGCAATTTCTTACATCTTGTTACAGCTTCAAAAAGCAACGCTATTCAAACACCCACCTCTTTACTAGCCATCTCTTGTGGGGCAGAGCTCATCCATTAGATTGGTAATAGCTAAACCAATTTAATAAACTTGCCTACCTCTACGAGAATGTTAGATTAACAAAGTTAATCGAAAATTTAGATTACACTTTAACGTTTCAATACACATTGGCATGAAGGTATCTTCTGAATTTCTGGTACTTATTTGCTTGACTTGCCCTCAAATCTAAAGGACAAGCAGTATTTCTTCTCAATGGCACTGCAAGACGATGTAAATATATGTTAGTGGAGTGCATCTGCAATAAGCACAAGTGCTATTTTCTATGTGGAGTCTATAATGCTTTTTATATGGCTACCATACCAACTAATGAGAAATTGCAAGGGTGTAAGGGAATCTAAAAGCACAATATCTTAATGTAAAGTCAGGAGTCTGCAGCAGATTATGGTTATGGGATGATACATGGGTTAACTTATCAGGCTAAAGCTAATTTCATACGTACAACTTGTTATTTTGTGAAGTACTGTATAGTGATACATTACCTAAGTATTAGTTCAATTTTTATGACAAAAATAAAGATATAGGTTGAGACAGACTTTTGAGGTACATATTTTCAATATATAAACTCATCTTGATAATTTTAGAAATTAAAGTATGGTAAATGAGTATAGCCAGTTTAACGTGATTATTCTTAAAATACATTTTAATTTTTCACCTGTTGTATCAACCTGGCTGATACTTCAGCACACAAATCACATCAACTGAAATAACGCATTCAAATGGCTGACCAGTATTCCATGCCCTTACTACTCATCTATGACTGAAACTGTAGACAGTGATGTCATTAGTGTTTAATTATGAGTCAATTTTAGAAGTCCAACTGACAAACTTTAAAGGATTCTGAAAACACCAACCAACGCAAAGTTCAAACATTAATTTTATTATATCTGAACAAATTTTCCATAAAATTTTATATTCAGCTAGTAATTCAATACATAAGGAAAAATAAATTTTGAAATGTAAAATTATATCATTCGTATAAAAACTTGCTTGAGGTTTCTGAAACCAAAACCACTAGTTTTGAAATCAAGTGATATCCTCACTTAATTTAATAATTCCTTTAATAACTGATGAACTAGCATGAATCGTGATCATTAGAAATTTGTAATAAAAATATACAAGCTCGTGGAATCCCGCCTTCCTAATAATGTATTCTTCATGCTCCCTATCAACTCCTCCTGGGCACATGCATGTTTATAATCCTCATACAACCAGACAGTTGAAGCATGCATGCCTTTAATGAATGTCTCTTAAATCTGCATTTCTGCTTTGTCTCTCTTAAGATTCTGGTTTATAACCAATCCTTAGGTGGCCATTTTCCCCCAGGAATGTTGCTGTCATCTCAGCTTAGCCTGTTTTAAACATTTGTGCTGTCACGTCCTCTACCACACCAACCTCACCATCATGGTGCTACCAAGCTTTGTTCATTCTTCTTTGTAATGACTTTCCCCCACTCAGCTCCTCTTTTAGCTGCGACTGTCCTGCTACCATGCAAACCCTTAATTACCTTCACTCAACCCTAAACAATTACAAGAGTTTGAGCTTTTCTATTTCTAATCCAGTGTATTCTTTCTCAACATGTTTCTTAAAAGCAAAGCTGCTGGATATCTGTGATTTTTACCTTATATATACTATTTAAACATAGGTACTTGCAATATGAATAAAGTTGCCAGGTTTAATTTGTCCATATAATGACATAGATGAAAACAAAAAAATTACCAATAGGAGGAAAATGTTCTAAAACACTAGGATTATAGGGATAGCATGCAACTTCAGCATTATAGAAAGCTCAAAAACAAAAACAGGAGAGAAAATGCTTATATTTCTATCATCCTAACTTTTATAATCAGTTTAAATTTTCCCTTTTAAATTGTCTGTGTGAATACTTTTCCATAGAAAGCAATCTTGGGCCAGCCAAATGACTCAGCAGATTAAAGTGCCAGTGAGCAGACACAAAGGCCAGGGGTCCAATCCCTGGGCCTGCTGTGCCGGCCCCACCCCCAGGGCACGCTGAGATGGCAACTGAGACTGGGCATGGTGGCGCACGCCTGTAATTCCAGCTCTTGGGAGGCTATGAATCTATACTATTTCCATAGATTAAATTATAAATTAAAAGGAATGCAGTTGAAATTTACTTCATGTTTACTTAATGTTGATTTCTTCTACTGTTCATTATTATTTTGTTGCAATGAACCTTTGCATATTCTAATTTTCATCTATAGGAGAGATTCCCAGAAATGTGATTAGGTACAAATATTTTCTTTTTCCAAACATTTTTATGGCTGATGAAATATCTTTTTTTTATTTTTCTTTTTTATTTTTATTTATTTGAGAGAGAGAGAGAGAGAGAGAGAGAGAGAGAGAGAGAGAGAGAGAGAGAGAGCAGCGCAGCCCACCAGGGGGCGGGCTGGCTGGCATGTGGTGCTGGGGATCGAACCGCGGTCCCTGATGCCTTGCCAAGCTTGTTCTAAGTAGGTGCTTTAGACCACTGAGCCATCTCTCCAGCCCCTGATGAAATATCTTGCCAAAATATTTCCAGAAAGATTGCCACTAATTTACAATGCCACAAACACACGAGATCACCAGGTTCACCAAGCCTGCTTTAGTTCGGCACATTACAATAAAAAGAAATACTAGTTAGGCATCAATTTGAAATTTTATTTGTATTTCACGATTACTATCAATAATGAACATGCTTTGAAGTTTTAAAATATTAGTTTGGCTTCTTTTTCAATTGTGTATTTAGGCACAATGTCTACCCATTTACTAAACATTCCCCTATCTGTGGCTTCTATTTTACTTTTATTCTTAAGAATGAGGAAACAATTCTTCACTTAAGACTGGAAGAAAACTGGTTCTAGGCCCCTGTGCTTTCAACACTGAGCAGCCAGATCCTTTCCAGCCCTCCTCTCTGCCACCCTTAACACCCTGGCTTATTTTAAACTGCTTCATCTCCTGGTTGCTCACAGAAATGCTGCAGCTCTAGATGCCATGTGTAGAAATGACTGTCAAACAACTAGAAAGGCTGCACAAAATCTTCTTCTGTGCCTGAGAATCTATGAAATGTTTCTCCATTAGGTTTTGGAATAGCACAAATGGTATCAAGCAACTTTAAGGTCTATTATAATTTCATTCTTTTAAAATTTTATTTTATTTTGAAGAGTAAAAACAAATAGCAGAAACAAATGAAAATAGAGTAACATACAACAATACACGCTACAAATTTTCAAAACAAGAGCTAATTACCAATGGTTGTTATATTATTTATTTTTATTG